TGGGATAGAGCGGTCCCTGGGCGTGCAGAGGGTCTACACCCTGCAGGACTTGCTGTATCAGAGCGACTGCGTCTCCTTGCACTGCAATCTCAATGAACATAACCACCACCTCATCAATGACTTTACTATAAAGCAGGTAATTTGAGAGAGACCTCCCAGGCCCTGGAAGCTTCTGTTGAAAGGTGGCAGCCACTGCTGTGGGCATAAGAAGGGATGAGAAATGGTTCACAGACACACTGGTGAGCGGGGAAGAAAGTCCCTGGGACAAGCCCCTTCCACGGACTGAGCCTCCACAGCCAGGCCCACACCCATCTGGCCCCCTCCCAGCTGACCTAGCACAGCTGCAACTTCCCCAGCTTCTCACCTCAGGAGCTACAAAAACTGAGCCCCGGCTGCCACCTGTCATCAAGTCTTCCTAGTCTCTTTCTGAAGATGCAACACACACACTAAGCAACCAGGAGGCTCACTCAGTGGCAGCACTGACGTAACTGGCTTTTCTTTCCTTCCCCAGATGAGGCAAGGAGCATTCCTCGTGAATGCAGCCCGTGGCGGCCTGGTGGATGAGAAAGCCTTAGCCCAGGCCCTCAAGGAGGGCAGGATACGAGGGGCGGCCCTCGACGTGCACGAATCAGAGCCCTTTAGGTAGGTGTGGGCAGATGCCACACGCCAAGCACCTGTAGGACTCCATCCCACACCTGACCCTGCCCTTTAACAATGAAGCAGTTTCCCAAACAGGTCCCTAGGGGGGTGAGAAACTCTGGAGACAACATTCACAGTCTGTTCATCTCAGGCTCTGCTATATTCTTGGTAACTGTAAACAGGCCAGTGGGTCCCCAAAAGTCATCAGAAAAATGATAGTGGACGTTTTGGTCTGTAAACAAATTTTACATCTCTACCCTGGAGTGTTCATTCTGGTTAAAGGAAGACAAGCCTAGAATTTGTGGGTTTTGTTTTTCCCATTTATCCAATTATCCCTGACACTGTTTTTTTGTTTTGGTTTGGTTTGGTTTTTTGTTTGTTTGTTTTTTTTTTTGAGACAGACTTGTCACTCATGTTACCCTTGGTAGAGTGCTGTAGCATCACAGCTCACAGCAACCTCAAACTCTTGGGCTTAAGCAATTCTCTTGCCTCAGCCTCCCAAGTAGCTGGGACTTAACAGGCACCTGCCACAATGCCCAGCTATTTTTTTGTTGCAATTGTCATTGTTGTTTAGCTGGCCTGGGCTGGGTTCGAACCCGCCAAACTTGGTGCATGTGGCTGGCGCTGTAACCACTGTGCTACAGGTGCCAATCCTCTGACACTGTGACACTGTTCTTACAGAAGAGTTTAGATAGTTAGGTTCAAAAAAATTCCCAACCTTATGAAATATGACCCCCACCTTCAGGTGTATGTGGCTGCTATTCTACATGGCCATGCTATTCTACATGGCCTCTCTGGGTAGGGAACGGATTTAACTCTTCACATTTATCTAGCTTTGCTCAGGGTCCATTGAAGGATGCACCAAACCTCATCTGTACTCCCCACACGGCCTGGTACAGTGAGCAGGCCTCACTGGAGATGAGGGAGGCCGCTGCCACGGAGATCCGCCGGGCAATCACAGGTGAGCCCCCTTCTGTTAGCCCTAGCCTGGCATGCCAGGGGCAAAGTTCAACTCCACCGTGGAGCCACCACTAATCCTGCTTCTTACACAGAATTCATTTTTAGGATCAAGTTAAGTTTCATGAGTTGGGCCCTGTTTCTGTAAGCCCTGAACTAAATTTCTAAGAGGGAGCCAGTTCCCTTTAGCCCAGCCAGTGTGAGTATTGTACACTCTGGAGGGAGGCCCCCAGACACAGACAGGAAGGAGGCTCCAGCTAACGCCCAGGTGCCTGGGCCCTTGGACATTGAAACTTCTGTGAAAATCAAAGGACCAGCACTCTATTCATTATAGACTTCTCTCGACACTAACATTTTAGGTCCCTGCCCCCCCTACATCTGCTAATAATATTGAAGTCTCTGTGACATTTAAAAGTGTGATTAAATTTTAATCATCTTACTCCAGGTCGCATCCCAGAAAGCTTACGAAACTGTGTGAACAAGGAATTCTTTGTCACGTCAGCAACTTGGTCAGTAATAGACCAACAAGCAATTCATCCCGAGCTCAATGGTGCCACATACAGGTGAGAAGAGGAATTGCGTGTGTCTCTGCCTCTGAGCACCTCCCCAGGTGGGGTAAGGACACAGGGGTGCGAAAGAAACAGCCTTTCAGCCTTCTCATTGGGAATCATGTATACATGCTTTCTGTTATTCTGGTAGCTAGACATTTCTGCTCTATAAGGGGGCAGGATCGTTACCAGATGTGACTGGCCACAGGGGTTAGGAACTGCCCTTCTTTCTGAAGGCATTGTGAACTAGAGGGTTTCTGGTAATTGAAAAGGTACAGATGAGATCTTCAAGAGGAAAGAAAGACCTGTTTTATCATCTAAGTTGAATCTTCTGCCCAAGGGATGCTTTCAGCCTGATGATACAGTGAACTAAGGATAACACCTTTGTCCAACATTAAGAATGACAAAGGTGTGACTGGAGATGCTAGGGAGTGCAGAATGGGGTAGGTAGAGACAGGACTCCTTGAAGGGAGCACTGGTTTCCATTTGTGGTTATTTCCTAGGGTTCTTCCCCACTCTCGTGCCACTGTTAGTGCTGGGATCAGGAAATAAACAGACCCTTCGTGCATTAAAGGAGAAAAGCTGCAGCCTTGAACCCAAGAAGAAATTCTTTACAAAGTTCACATACTCCGACCTGGAGTTTCTACTCTTAGCAACACTTATGTTTGGGGCAGATGTTTCTGTCCTGGTGGCCCTGTCCTACACTTGCCACTTCCAATCGTATCCATTGAATAATGTCTCCAAACATTGCCCATGTTCCCCCAGAGATTACATACAGTTTCAGGAGCAAAACTCTGAAGGAGCGATGCTATTGCATCCAGGTTGTGCGTGATTTTCTTCACGTCATAAAGCCCCACCTTTCTGCCCTGGTAACCACTTTGATGTCATCACCGGGGCCCATCTCAGTGTCACATTCCCTGCCACTAATGCTGGTGCCCACCTTTTTCCTGCAGGGAGTCTAAGGCTCTGAGGACCCCTGGACCATTGAACGTGTTCCGAGAGGCCACAGTTTGAAGGGACCCCATCCAGCAGAGTCTTCTGGAGAGGTCCTAGGGCTTGTTGACTGGTCTTAAGAGAGTGGCAGGCCAGGGGCTGGGGCAGGGTGGCTTCCACAGTTAGAACTGCCCTTTCTGGCTCATTTATAAAAAGTTGAGAATGTTGCAAGTAAGACTTCTCCTAAAGCACCTGCCTCTTAACAAGTACGTGTGAATACAGTGAGTCCCGTTTGTGCCTAAGGAGCATACGTTCCGTAGGTGGCTAATGCAGATTGTCCTCACACACAGCACCTTGGCATGCCTGCAGCACAAAGGCAGCCTGTGTCTGGGCATTCTGAGGAAGGTAGGCACTGAGTCAGCAGGCAGTGCACCATCCCATCTCGTGCCACAGGAGTGCAAAACCAACCAGCCTGCGAAGCCACTGACTTCATGAGTGCTATATAGTCTGGGTGGCTTATAAACTGTAGAAATTTCTCAGTCGTGGAGGCTGAAGTGTGAGGTCAGGGTGCCCCCACAGCAAGATAGGGTACAGGCTGTCTTCCAGGCAGCTGACTCCTGGTTCTCCCTGTATCCTCACATGGCAGAAAGGACCAGTGCCCTTTTTAATATGAGCACTAAAAGCTCCTGGCCTGATCACCTCCAAAGCCCCCACCTCTTGATACCATCACTTTGGAGGGTTAGGATTTGAACTTAAAGGAACTGGGGCAAAGAGGGACCAGAAGCATTTAGTAAACTCTAGCGGTTCTTCCTACTATCTGTTGGGAAATCACTGTCAGTGTAACTCACCAACACTTTCTAAAGCTACCAGAAAACTTGGGAGTCTGCTTTGTACAAAGTATGTTTTTATAATCAGTACAGGATCCACTTTCATAATTAGTACTGGGCTAACATCTTCCTGGTCACAAGCATTCTGATAGGATGGGGCGGTGTTTTTTGTTTTGTTTTCAAGAATTAGTTGCTGATGTTTTATATTAAGTATTTCTTCTTGCTTTGGGGGCAGCAAAGGTGACAAATTATCTCATAAAAATTGTTAAAAATAAATTTTAGAAAAGGAGGAAGAAGAGCCAAGAACTTGGCAGCTCTGCTGTGGACTTATTAGACCCTATTGTGTGTGCTCCCTAGATACCCACCAGGCCTCGTGGGCGTGGCTCCAGGAGGACTGCCTGCAGCCATGGAAGGGATCATCCCTGGAGGCATCCCAGTGACTCACAACCTCCCTACAGTGGCACACCCTTCCCAAGCGCCCTCTCCTAACCAGCCCACAAAACACGGGGACAATCGAGAGCACCCCAATGAGCAATAGCAGAGGATGCCGATGCCGGAAGGTAATCATTCAAATAAACTTGGGACCAAGAGACAGTGAGAAATAGATGAACTAAGAAAAAAGGAATTTGACGGTCTTTTTAACTAATTTGGACATATGCATCATTGATGTTGCAGTGTTAAAACTACAAGAGCTAGAAAACTGAAGATGTCTGCTTACGGAAGCACTGAAAGACTAGGACGTGATTTATTAACGACCAACTTCTGTTATTGTGTGTTAAGTTTTTCATCTGTGCATCAAATCACAAAGAATAAATAGAGCTTTTTCCTTTATCAGTCCCTTGGGCACAGCAGGTCCCAAGCACCCTGCTCTAGAATGTTGCATCAGGAGTTCCAAACATCAAAATAAAAATTAAGAGGAAAATCCCCATCCTGTGACTCTAGTCCCTTCGGTCTACAGGGGCTGGTTACCTCTTTTTGCTAATAGGAAGATTAAAACTACAGAATGGGGAGAAACTGTTTGCCTGTATTAAGACATCTGCACGCATAGGATTGAAGAGTACAGGCTCCTGTACAAAGAAGTGTCTCACACCTGAACTGCATACTGAGCGGGCAAGTTGGCTGTAAGTTCAGTAATACCCTGATGATGCAAAAAAAAAAAAAAAAAGTATTAAGTTTCACAAGCTGTTTGTACTCAAATATATTTTCTCAGTTTCAGATCCTCAGCTATTTTATTGAGTGGAAAGTCTTGAACTAAAAGTGTTCAAGAAGAATAATGTTGCATTTCCTTATGTCTCAGGAAACACTTTTTATGGTAACTTGTCAGATTGTCTATGAACAAACCCACTTTTTTAGACATTGATAAAGTCTTCTTTTCTTCACGTGATATTTTATACAAGAACACTTCAGATGTATTAGATGTGACTGATTTTAACAAATCCTATTAGATTTGTATCTTCAACTAGTTACATGTTCTATTCATAGTCTTTTGTGAATCATTGCCTTTTTGTTTAAAAAGATGGCCTATTTTGAGCCTTTGTATAGGTACATTCCTGTTTTTGTGACAAAAAAAAACTTTAAAACTGTCCCAAACAGAAAAATAATGGCTATCAGAAGTATGTTTTGTTTTAGTGTGAGTTACCGTTACTGTATTTGTTTATTGTAAAGGTGGACATTTAGCATTCAGTGCAGTTTTCAATAAAAAGTAATTAAAATTTCTGTTAAGTTCTGAAATTCAAATACATCTCACCAGTGTAAAAAGTCCTCTACTTGAGATGTTTAAAGGCAGCTGCATTGTCAATTAGCCAATTTCCAACTCTTGTTATTCCAGGGTTGTATCTGCCTAATCCATGACCAGACTCAAGAAAGCTGACAATTACCTCATGTGATAGTTTAATTGAAAATCAAACTTCATACAAGTCCAAGTCTGTCACTATAAATCATCTCATCCTTAAGATGAAAAGTGGGTCAATTCAAGAAACAAAGGTGCTTGTGTTTTGATTTTAATTTACCCCCAAAGCAAAATTGGCTGGCTCAAGGAAGAAAAGTGACTCTAACAATTGTGATATTTACAAAATATTGAAAAATAATTAACAGCAGCCATTTCCATAGGTTAAGAACTTTATGTTGATTTAATGGATCTTCCTTTTCAAATACCATTAAACCCTTTGTCGGTTAAGTCCAGCAGTTCCAAATATCAAACTCCTTTTGGGCCCTTCTCTTCCTATTAAAAAGAAACCATGGTGTCCTAAAGCATTCAGCCTGCCTGGCCTTAATTCCTCCCTTATTTTAAGGTATTGGTCCCATCCCAACTCTGCCATGAAAACTTACATTAAAAAACTTCCCATGGAGCACACAGTTTACTGACCTATTACTTCAGACAGCAAAGGAGTGATTTAACATATCTTCATAACCATGAACTATGCGTGGGAAGGAGGCTTAGTACACACGGGGTATCTTAACCTTCACATATATTCATTCTGGGATACGATGAACCTAAGAGTCAAAAACATAAAAAGGCAGGTCTGAATACATGGTCCACCTGGGTCTTGTTTAATTAGATCTTGGTTGCCCAAACGGTCTTTGGGAAATGATCATATATATATGTGTATATATATAAATTTACTCCAAGGAAAAAACAGGTCAGAACAAAAAACACCACACACTCTCTTCACCCCAGAAAAACAACCATAAAGTCCATACAGTTATTACTAAGTCAATCAAAAGACATTCATGCCTATCACCCAGCCATGTATAATCTTCAACAAAGGATGGTGTAGTCTATCTTGGGATGATAATTATGGCTGTTTAATAGTTCAAGAGCTTAATATAGCAATGATTTACCAAAAATTTGGCCTTTAACAGCCAATCTACTATGAAAACCATTTAAAGCCCCATTCCTGTTTGTAGCTTAGGAAATGGAACCATCTATACATTCTTTCCCACAGGGAAGAATACTGTACCTATCAAAACTATATGCGGTCAGGGTCACTGATAATAAATAAATAAATAAAGAGGGAACTGGGTGGAAACGACACTCACCAGACCAACACACAGGAAGAAACTAAATACTGAGCCTGTAATTCTGAGCATCAACTGTAGTGCTGACTACAGTGACCAGATGTTCTCCCTCTATTTCTCTGGCTTCTTCAATTGAGAGGGCAGATTTTACTTCACAGGCATCTAGAGAACAGGATCTCTGCCCCCTACAGATCCCAAGCCACGGAGAAAGTTCCTACAGATGATGCCCAGCATTCAGAATGGTGGCCTTCTAAGAACTATGATTATTAACTACTGACCAAAATGAAAGAAAACATTAACCACTTAGAACATTAACATTTACCATTATATCAAAATTCACTTGTGGTGGAATCATACCACAAAATATTTTCGACTTTTAGCATGCAGCAAAAATTCTTTTCTGGGAACAATTTTTACTGAGTGTTCAGAGAAGGGGATAAGAACTGAAGATATTACACCTAGTGGGTATTTGTCTGTTTTTAGTATTCTGGCATCAAATTTGAGGTTACAGACATTCCAATAACTAAACATAAAACCAGAAGCAAACAAGGTTTTCACAGCCTTTTCTTCACAGGGAAGGAAAAATTCATGTGTTGCTGTGTCCATATAGATTGGGCTTCTTTCCAAATTCACTGCCCTATCAATAGTTAAGAAAGTGCTTATCAGGACACTAAGTCTGAAATTTTTTGCCCAGTACTCAACGTATACCTGAAATGGTCAACTAACTTTTAAAAAAAAATTCTGCCTAAGACTGTAGTTTTAACTTTAAATAATAATAATGGCTACAATTAACCAACATGCAAAATTCATCATACAATGCATTTACCACCTTATTGCAGTTTTCAAATCTTTATCCTGTACTAAACTGGTAGTCCCAGTCTGCCTGAGCAAAGCCATGCCGTCCTCACAAGATTCGCTCAGAGCAGAGGTGGTGATGGAAGGTCCCAAAGCCCCTCTGCGTGGCAATGTGGGCAGAACACTGTCAGTGGAGGCCAAGTGAGCAAATTTCACACAATTGTGTAGTGAGACGTGATCTGCTCCCTTCCCATCTGGGGAATGACTACTCACTACTCTTAAACAGACCACTGCCCAGAGTCGGGTACTCTTCCAAACAAATACCTAAATACTGAAAAGGGATATATCAGAAAACTAGACAAAATAATAGAAACCAAAACCCTCTTCAAACAAGGAAACCGATGTCTATATGAAGTTCACTCAATAAAAAAATTCTTAGCTTTTCTTACAGTTTTGTTCCTCAAAGATTTGATTTTATTTCATTGGGCACAACAGGAACTAAATTATTTAAAATAAAAGCTTATTTATTTTTATGTTTTGCTGTGGATAATTTATACAAAAACGTTTCCAGATTTCTGAGACTTAATGTTAAATGAATCTTTTAACGTGAAAGTAGAATGCCAGGTTCTACTGAAAAAAGAATATCTCAAAGGAACAAAGAATCACTGCCATGTGCTTTTTGTAAGTGCCCATGCTGGAAAAAAATTTCTCAATAATATGAAGATGCTGGTACAACTTTTCCTATTACACAATTTCTTACACAACCACATGCGTTACATTTATAGACAGATTTACAATTTGAAAGAAAAAAAGTTCTGTCTTAATAAAATTAGTTTTTTACAAACTGAAGTCCAACCAAAGTTCTCTGTCTCCTCGTGCATCAGATGCACCGTCTCCATTGGTGTGGATCAGGCAAACATCTCCGAGCAGACATTGCCAGTTTTGGTTCATTCCATGCTGCATACTCTGCTTGGAGCACCACACTTTGGGGTCATCACAGATCCAATGCCTTGGTCTTCTGCTGTTGATTTTTTTCATTCATCTTCTTCATCTTCATCTTCCTCTCCATCAGACAGGGATGTACAAGGCCGGATCTGTCGGTAGCGGTCAAGCCATTTTTCCACCATTTGGGTGACCAGGGGGTGATTCCGCCGCCTAGAGCTTTTCTGCATGGCAACCAGAACACCCCCCTCAGTCACACAGCAATCCAGCCACTCCCTGAGCAGTTTTTCTTGCTGTTCTTCATTCCCTAGCTTTTAGAGGAGTGTGAAGGAAAAGGGAGAAAAAATCAGAAAAATATCAGACTTTTTTTTTTTTTTAAAGAGACATTATTGCCCTTGGTAGAGTGCCATGGTGTCAAAGCTCACAGCAACCTCCAGCTCCTGGGCTTAGGTGATTCTCTGGCGTCAGCCTCCCGAGTAGCTGGGAATATAGTCCCCCACTGCAACACCCGGCTATTTTTTTGTTGCAGTTTGCCCAGTGCTGGGTTCAAACCTGCCACCCTCAGTATATGGGGACAGCACCCTACTCACTGAGCCACAGGCACTACTAACAGATCAGACTTTTAATAGGAATTTAAAACCCACAGCGGGTATGATAACTAAAGAAAAGGCCAAAGCAACAAGCTGTCTAACATGGTTTCAACCTCCCCAGTTCTGCTTAAATTTTAAAAAAACATCAGTGGGAAAATGATCAGAAAAGACTCAAGGGAAGAACGTTAGCAGTTCTCAACCTGTAGGTCACGACCCATGAGAACTGTATTAAAGGGTTGCGGCATTAGGAAGATTGAGAACCAGTGCCCTAGGAGGTAGTAACAAATGTTCTAATCTGCTCTTGGCAAAGAAAATGCCATAAAAAGTCACAGCTTCAACCACATGACAAGGTAAGTTTACTGGGTAGATTATATACAGATTAAAGTTATACAAGTTATGGTCTCTTAATTTTTTTCCTCTAAATGTTGTGATTATAAATGTTTTGTGATAACTATTAGTACATTAAATAAAAGACCATTAATTTTATAAGAATATTTGCCTTCTGACAGTGTTCTTTGGTAGATTCTCACCACCAGGTCCCACCCTCTGTTTTCCTCCCTCTGCAATGGTTTCACGTGCTCCAATGGTTTCTTGCTCCTGCCACTGTGCTCCGTGTCCAGCCTCAACCCAGCAGTCAATGTTCACTCCCAGCTTACCCAGAGTAAAAGCCAAAGCCTGAACCTCACCGCCCCCCCCCCCTTCCACGACCTCTCTTCTCATGTCACAGTGACCCCTTTCCCTACATCCTATTTAAATCATAACCTCCACCTTTACTTTTTCTCCTTAGGTGCCCATCATCACCTGAGGGCAGGGACTTTAGATTTAGCTGTCTGCTGTGTCTCCACCCAGCAATTTTGGAAAGGCAAATTTCAAAATATGACTATTATTTATTTATAGAAAGTAGCAATTACTACAACCACATTCAGGAATGTGATAGTTACCAGGTAACTGGAGACATAGACCACTTACCTCCTGGGCAGAAAGAAAGTGCACATGGAGTAACTTCCTCTCACTGTCAACCAGAGGCAAAAACGTGATAGTGACATCATCATCGGTGTTCAGGTTAGCACCAGCACCTCGATTGCCATAGCCATCATTTTCCATAGCAACCAAAGCAGAGAAGTGGCCCCTTGTATAACCCAGAGCAATTGGACTTTTCCAACAAAAACTCTGTTCCCACAATAAAGGCAAATAAACACCTGCATGAAGAGGGAAGAAAATCTTGATTGTCCCAGGTCAAAATAGCCCACTGCCTCCTTTCCACACTCCTCTGTCTGCTTCCCGACTTCTAAGATCCACTCTCTGATCTTGCTCTCAGTTAATAGTTTTACTTAAGAATGTGGCTGTAAACTACATTATACACATAGTAGTAAAGAAGAGATTTCTAAAACGCTCTTGAATAATAGCTTACCTTGAAACCGAGTATATCCTAAAGTTTCTCCCCGGAAACTCTTATAGTATTTTACTCCATAAACTATAATTGGTCGTCTAAGAATATGTGCAAGTACAAAAATGTGTGTCTGTTCCAAACTTGCTCCAGGCTGTGTAGAACAACAACAAAAAAGCAATTTCACTTTATAGTGTTTATTAGCACTCTTGGAAAACTAACATATAAAAAAACAGTACTACCTTCAGCATACTATCAAGCCACTTCTAAAAACTAATTATGTCCAGTTATAGAATCATTTGATTGCTCTACAAAGTCTATGTACAGGTATCATTCACTATCCAAACACACAAGCCAGATAAATAAATGTGCATAAATATTTTGAGATATCTCTTTGCTATCCAACCTCAGCATTAACTCTAAGAAATGAGAGATTCAGATAGCAAGGGATGTTTATGATATGCTGGTTATCTGTGAAAATAATACCTACAGTAAAGTCCTCCAGAAGTGAAAAGATGAGCCTTGTTATTTCATATGAACTTCAATGATGGTATCACCTAACTCCTGCATGCTAATACTAAATGGGCCTATCTTCCAACTACAATGATTCTAATAACACACAGCCACAATGTATCTGTCTCAGATGTAAATCAGCTATTGTGAACCCTACCCAAAGACAAAAGACATTTCCTTTCCAAAGTTCAAAGGAACTATGGTGCTTTCTGGAAAGAAAAGGGGGTGTCTGTTGTACATATACAGTGGAACCTCCACCTCCTTAATTTGATCTAATTTTCATGGACTAGACACATACTGCATGTACATATATCAGTACAGTAGGTTTAATTCTTATGTTGACCAGTTACAGTCCCTTGGGTGGTCAACCTACCAGTTTAGTACACTGAATGTCCTCACCACGTTAAACTGGTATGAAAGCCAGGGTCTTAAGGGGGCAATCCTACACAATTCTGTTATGGGAAGGCTTCATTATAAAATAAATCATGCTGGCAAATACTAGAAACCATTCCTATCAATGGTAATTACTTTAGAGTAAGCTAGACTGTACTTTTCCTCTGTCTACGTCATGTATACAGTCTCACCACTGGAGAACATGAAGATTGATTATGTGCTTCTCAGGGCCTGAAGGCTCAGCAGCAGCAAATACTACTTCAGTAGTTATCATGGAAGTTTCCACCTCAGACACAGACTGGCGTACCTGTAGGTACGCAAACTAGGCATCCAACGTCTGCACATAGGAGGAACGCAGAGCAATCGTCACGAGACAACTTTCACTATGACAGGTTTTATCACTTGATACAAGAAACAACAGTACTCTCCCTGGTCTGCAGTAAAGACACGCTGTGGACATACACAGTATTGATGAAAGGTAGTGGTGATAGAACCTGCAAGCAGTCAGTCTCTTTGTTCTATGTTGTTTCCAATATGGTTTGCTCCCCTAATCAAGGAATCTACAGCTTCTCAGAAGCAACAAGGTTTGAAGCATTCTTACCTGACTAGCAAGTGAGAGTATAAATGCCCAGTCTTCTTGCCACTGCTCCTCTCTCAAGGAAAAATGTAAACCAAAGCTCTGAGAATACCAGGATTCCCAATCTTTCCAGCGTGTGTAAAACCTAAAAACAAAAGAAATAGCCTATAGAGAGTACATTTAATGTCCTGATCATTTATTTGATATAGTCTTTAACCAGCCTATGTGAACAGATGAATAATTTTATTAATTTTACCTGGTTTGCAAAATATTTTCCAAATTAAAAATGCTTCCCATTCTGCTATCAGATACCTTTTAACATCTTCAGCCAGAATCTGATTCACCACCCACGAAACTGTCATCAAACTTCACTTTCAATGTCTACTACTGATTTACAAACAAAATAACATTGAAAACAGCCATCTGAGATGTTGGATATACAGAAAGACACTACATTTCTCCATCAGTGTATCACTACTTGATCCCTATATACCCCATGTGTTCAAAAGAATATTGAGATCACTTCCTTTCTTTCCATACATAAGATTATTTCTGACAATCATCTGATAACCCAGAAACCAAAAAAAAAAAAAAAAAATCACTGCAACTACAAAAAACAATTCCTTATAGTTAAATACCCCTTTAAATATAAACTGAATTGCTAAAAACAAACTATTTTTCTTTACATCAAATATAAAATTAAATAAATTCAGAAATATGCTGAGAATTGTGATTTACTATCTTAATAAAACAAGCCAGCCAAGACCTCTGAAGTGAAGACAAACATTTTTGTAACATTCCCTTTCTTTTTTAAGCATTGGAATTCTAGGTAAAAGAAATAAAAGGCAAAATAATCTGTACTGTTGAAAGCTCCAGCATAGAAAAGTTAAATGTTTGATGTCATAAATACCTTTCCTATAATTTAATGGAGTACTCCATTAGAAAGTAAATTAATGTATTTTATATTTTTTAAAAGGCTAGAACTTAATGTTCTAGAGGTTTAAATCTTAGTTGATTAAAAAAACATTTTTAAAAAAAAAGGCAAAACGTTGGGTGGTGCCTGTGGCTCAAGGAGTAGGGTGCTGGCCCCATATAATGTTTTTAAAATACAGATGTTCTTTTCAATAGCTAAGATATACACAAATGTATCTGGATGTTTTAGCACCAATGATGAAATATGCTTTGAAAGTGCAAAGAGAAATATCACCAAAGACAAACTGTTAACATACAGAAAAATTTATGCAATTAGGAATTTGTTGGTTAGTGCCTATAATCACTTTACGAATGAAACAGTGAGCTAAGTCAGCCAAAAATGTTGACTTCCCTTAAAACTCTTCAAGAAGATTACTGAACAAGGGAGTTCAATAAAATATACTTTCAACATAAACATGTTCAAATAGTCACCCCTACCACATTGAGACCTAAACTGTGAAAATAGCTGGCTTATTAACAAGCAAACCAAATTAAGCAACATACAACAAAATGGTATAGGACTATAAGTTTGACTTCATATTCAAAAATCAATTCCATGTTCATAGATTGGAAGACTCAGAATCGTCCAATTGAGAATATTTCTTCCCTCACCAAATTATCTACAGATTCAATGCAATCCCAATCAAAATCCCAGCTATCATTTTTACAAAAACTGAAAAGCTGGATCCTAAAACTTATATGGAAATTCAAAGGACCCACAATAGCCAAACACTCTTGAAAAAGAAATGCAAAGTTGGATGATTTACACTGCTGATTTCAAAACTTATTACAAAACTACAAACATCTAGATAGTCTGATATTGACATAAGGATAAAAATATGCATCAATGAAAAAATACTGAGAGCCCATAAACCAACCTTTCTAATGGTCAACTTATTTTCAACAAAACTGCACAGGCAACAGAATGGGGAAAAAACTATCTTTTCAATAAACAGTACTGGGACAACTGGATATCCACATGCAAAAAGATCAATTTAAAACTTTACACCTTAAATGAAAATTCACTCAACATGGATCATAGATATAAAAGTTAAAACTATGAAATTCTTAGATACAAATCTATGTGATCTTGGGCTAGACAAAGATTTCTTCAGATACAACAGCAAAACTACAAGTAATAAAGTATTGATTAGCTGGACTCCATCAAATTAAAGACTTACACGTCATCAGACATTGTTAATGTAAGTAAAAAGCCACAGAACGGAGGATAATAAATGCAAATCATTATCCATGAGGGACTTCATACGTAAAGAATACCTGCAACTCAGTAACAAGACAATCCCCTCTAAAATACAGCAAAAAATGTGGGAAGATTTTAAACCCAGTAAGATACATAAATGACCAGTAAATGCTTGAAAAGATGCTCAATATCATCAGTTATTAGGGAAATGTAATCAAAACCACAATGAGACACTACATGCATGAGAATGGCTACAATAAAAAAGATAAATAGTAAGTGTTGATGAAAACGTGACAAAAGTGGGATCTTTACACACTGCTGACAAATATAAAATGCTACAGACACTGTGGAATACAGTTAGGCAGTTTCTTATAATGTTAAGCATAGATTTACTTTATGACCCATTTTTACTCCTACAAAAGAGAAGCTAAAACACTATCCCACCGAGACTTGTACAGGAATGATCACAGTTGCATTATCTAGGTTTGTAACAGCCAAAAAGTAGAAACAACCCAATATCCACCAATGGATTTAAGTACGTCAACAAAATGTGGCATGCAGCCATATAATGGAATTATTAAACAGTAATAAAAAGGAGCAAAGTACTGATATATGCACAGCATAGGCAAGTCTTTAAAATTTTATGCAAGTCAAAGCAGCCAGTCACAAAAGACTACATATTTTATGATACCATTTATGTAAAATGTCCAGAAAAGACATATGTACAGATACAGAAAGATTAGTTATCTGGGGATGGGAAGTGGGAGGGACTAAAGAAAGTAAGATTTCTTTTTGGGGGGGTGATAAAAATGTTCTATAATTCTGTTGCAGTGACAGCTACACAATTCTGTAAA